AGAGAGAGAGAGAGAGAGAGATCATAAATGGCTTAAATCAATGGCTAATATAACGCTTTACCTGTTGTTTGGTTCAGTGATGACAGTGTTGGGACAGTAACGCAGTGACGGTCGTAAGGATTGGGTCACCGATTGGACAGTCGCGGGCGCTATCGGAACAGATTCAGGTAATGTAGTCTCCATAGGAACGGACGGGACATTAACTTCGGTCTCAATGGGCGTCTGTAGTACACGAGTGGCCGCTGAGTGGACAGCCAGGCAATGTTGATCGCGTCCATATTTGAGGTAAAATCGTTTGGCACATCTGCCGCACCGGTACTTTTTGCCAACTGCCGGGTGAACGGGTGGGACATTAACTACGGGTTCAATGGACTCCTGTGGCACATGAGCGGCCTTCGAGTGGGCAGTGAGTCGATGCTTATCGAGTTTGAATTGATGGTAAAATCGTTGGATACAGTCATCGCACCGATACTGTCCACCTGTGGCCGAGTGGACACAACGCATGTGTTTCTGCAGTTTCCGTTTAGAAGGGTATGATTGGCCGCAGCCGTCGTGCGCGCAGTCGTGCTGTTTGGCGGCCGCCGATTGGACGCCCAGTTTGCCGGTCCGCGAGTGACACTTTCGCCGATGACTATTGAGACCTTTTCCGGTGACAAATATTATGTCGCATTTGTTGCACACAAAACGGCTGGCCGTATGGGTCGGGTCGGCGGTTAACCCAACGGCGCTATCATTACCGCCACCACTGGTCTCACATGACATGACAGGCGTCGGGTCTTTATGGACAGCCCTCTGGTGTGCTCTTAGCGTGTATTCACCGGCAAACTCGAGGCCACAGCCGTTGACAAGACATCGATGTATTGGCGGACAAACTGTGGGGACTCTAGTCGTCGGGAGAGGACTGACGGCGTGTTCCCGACGTTTGTGTGAATCCATTAGCGATAGAGTGGCGAACTGTTTGTGGCATTCATTGTAATCGCATTTCAATGTCTTCTTTGGCCGCGATTTCGGAACAAACGACTCATAAGTCGGCGAAAAACTGGTTTCAAAGACACAAACATTTGTCACAATTGAACGCATCGTTTGTCGCAATCAATACAAACCCATCACTCGATGACATCCACAACAATATGAAGACAACACTCAATGCAAAGACATCACCACTACTTGTGTGGACACAAAATCAATAAAAGAGTAAATCAATTAATATTTGGTTTTTGTTATGAATTGCA